CGTCCCCGCACCGCCCCACGACGACTTGGCACGGGCGGGCGCCTTGGCGGCGTGGTCGGCTTCCACCGCTTAACTGGCTAGGCTGGAACGAACAGCTGGCAGCACGCCGTGCGGGCGTTCCTGCTTCAGGCGTTTCACCCCCACCCTGCACTTGGGAAACTCACCCTTGGAAATCCTGCGGAGCTGGCCATGGGTGCCACGTCCAACATGACCAGGGCAATTCGACAAATCGCCGGCGTCGCTTTCCCATCTGAACAGACCGCCCCGCAGCGGCAGCAGAACAGGAGGAAGCGCACCTTTGGATTCGTGCCTTGGACGGCACACTGCAGCAAGAGGTGCGCTCGCCAACGGAAACTTGCTCGGGAGAACTCCCCCCGCCACGACCCCACTCCCGACTCCGCTCCCAGGCCCCATCCATCCTCGGGCGGCTCCTGATCAGGAGCAGCGTCTGGCGCAGCGTCGCGCTCTGGCCGCGCGGACTCGCGGGCCGCGGCGTGCTGATCCGCACGGTCTCCTGCCTCGATGTGCGCCTCTGCCGCCCAAGAGGCAGCCTCTCGCGCACACTCTGACAGGCCGCGCCGCGTCTCGTCAAAACTTGCGTCGATGCCGTGAGCAGCAAGCAGCCCCACGCTTGGCGAACTCGCCCGCCGCGCTGTTGGTTCGGTGTTCCCACTCCGTGGTCTGACTTGCATCCACCTGCGCTCGCGCGCAGTGCGCGCGGGTCTCGTGCACCTCAAAATCTGAGTTGGGAAAGGCGGCCCAGAACTGGCCCCAAAGGTGCGCGCTATCGTTCGACGATCCCGCCCCGCCCCCCTCCCCGCGTCGAGCCGCGCTGACAGCCCCAGCAGAATCGACATGCAGCGTGAACGGGGGCAGGGCCACTTGCGTGAACATGTTCAGTGCGGAATATTCGGCATCCCGAGCCTATTGCCTGGGCGCCGCTGTTCTCGGAACGGGCTCGTAGGCCACCGCCTGCAACCGGCCGAAATTATCCACTTGCACCACGGCCAAGCCAGCTCGGGCCAGACGCGGGCAGTCAGCCCGAAGGGCCGAATCGTCTGTAAACAGAAGCCCGCTCAGAAGGCCAAGCGCGGGCCTTTTGTGCCAAAGGATGGTGACCTCGGGCTCCTCGGGGACCTCTATCAAGACCGCGGTGTTCGGGGAGAGGCCGCGCGCGAACCGCTCGCCCTCGTCGAAGCCCCACTCTTTGACCCTGCGAGCCCTCCGCTGCAAGAAGTCCGAGACACCTTCACGAAATTGTACACTCAACGCTGGGCATTCGTAGGCTCTGTGCCAGAGCGACCCGTCGGGGTCTCCGCACCGCAGGCAGCTCCCAGACTCCGCCAGGCCATGCTTGAAGAGCCTGCATTGAGGCCGATGGGCCCCCAAGATAAGCGTACTCAGGGACCTCTGGTGCCCTCTCGTCCATCCTTTCGCCTCCGAAACCTGGTGCAGGAGGGGATTGAGGGCCCGCCCAAAAAAACGGGGTACGCCACGAGGCCGCGGGCCTGACCTCGAGGCCTTGGCGATCCGACGCTCGAAGGGCCCCATTCCTCAGCCAAGGCCTTGACGAGGGCTGGAGACATCTTTTTCAACTCGATCATCTCGCGCTCGTTCGTGACGAGAGTGTCGCCCGCCTGAAAAGACCAGCCGATCCTCTCCAAGCTGAGGACCGCCATTTCCGCAGGCGACGCTGCCGACGCCCACGGAGATGACAAGCGCGAACCAAGCAGACCTGCAGAACACCTAGCTCGGGGTAGGACTCCCAGACAGCCTGCGCCCACATGAAAACTACCTGGCCGATGTTCAAAATCCGCGGGTCCATCCTGGGACCTTCCGTGTAACTGCGCAGTCTAAGGCTGGTCGTCGTACCCTCCGGTGCACGACCCAAGCTGCCCAAAGCACTGAGACGCAGCCCTTGCATCTGAGACGGCGGGATGCCCATGATGCTGGACCCCCCACAGGGCCGAGGCCGGTGGGCCCGCTCTCTGGACCCAAACAGTGCTTGCCCCAGCCCGCCGAAATTGCTGCAGCTGGCTCGATCGACTCCGCGCTCCTTCCCACCTGGCCCTGGTGACTCCGACCCTCCGACTGGCTCCGAACGAGGCATCAGTCCCCAGGTTCCTCGAGGAGGTGACTCGAGCGCTCGGGGGTATCTCCCAGGCCTGCTGCAGTTTCGCATCGAGCTCGGCGTTGCTGCACAGGTACTTCGACTTGGCTGAGACTGGTAGTCCGAGCTGCTTGAAACTGGCCAGCAGCGTCATCGTGCCCCCTGCCAGCTGGTCCACGACCACATCAGCGGGGGCGACGATCTGCTAAGCGACGTCGTCTATCACGTTGCGAATTACCAGCTGCGGGCGCCCAAACTGGGCCAAAAGCAGACAGGACTCAAGAGGAGAAGCCTTGCCAGGAAGAGGAAGAGGAAAAGGTGACCCAACACCACCGAGAAATGCCACCGAGACGCGCCCCCTCGCTCTGGCTCAGAGGAGGACTCGGCGCCGGGGGAGGCTCTCGGCACGGAGCGCGCGCGCGGGCGAGGCCTCTGCCGCAGCACGGCGCCCAACCGGGCCGCCTTCTCCGTGTCGCCCATGATCTCGGCCTGGACCTCAGACGGGCGAGGGGCGGGATCTGTACGATCGGAATGAGTTTTGTTGGGAGGAGCAAGAGATGGGAGCGGACCGCGATAATATACACAACTCGCCTCGCCAAGCGCGCTGGCAATTATCATGTTCGTCGCCAGGCTGTCCTGTGAGCGTGGCCGAAACGCCAGTCGGGGAGAACGGCAGTCCTGTGGTCGGTACGATCGAAATGAGCATGGAAAGAATGGGTGCGACGACCGACAGCAGGTCCTGCCCCTGCTGAACAGGATTTGCTGTCGGCGTCGCCGCGGACGTTGCCCACTCGAGGCAGAAGGCCGCCCGCCCAACGGCGGCGGCTTTCGGTTTTGGACAACATCTGTTGCTGGGCATCGCACCCACCTTTCCCGTACTCCAAATCTCATAATACAAGGGGGGGGTCAAGAAAGTGTTTGACGGCCGGTCTGGGACCCCCCCAAGTAGACCCCCCCCAGACAGGCAACAAAGGGTCCAAAATCGAGACCCCCCCACAATTGTGTTTGACGAAGCCCGTTGGACCCCCTCCAAAAGCAGACCCCCCCCCCATTGTTATGAGATCCGGAGTACCCCTTTCGGCGTCCAGACGGGAGGCAACTCCTGGAGCCCTCCCACATCCGGAGGAGGGCCAGTCGACACACACGGCGGCCCACCTGGCGCTCACCGCCCTCTCGGGCCTCCCGGAGGCTCCTCGCCGCCACAGCTGGACCCGCCCCGGAAGGCGATCCCGGGGGGGGCGTCTGCATTCGGGCCAGGCGGGCGAGCTGCCGCTGTCGGCTGTGGCCAGAAGGGGGGCCTGGCCAAGTGTGGCCTGGGGCCCCCTGACCCTCTGGGGCCGTGAAGGGTGCTCTGGAGGGCATCCGGGCCACCCAGGAAGAACCCTGGAGGCACCTTGGGCCAGGCACACCTATGGCGACGCCCGAAAATCTGGGGAGGCCTTCGTGGGCGCGGCTGAGCAATGCTGGGTCGCACTCGGGGGGAGATCAAGCCACATAAGGCCATGATTGACTACCTACCAGACCACCCCAACCCAATCCGAAGACTCAACTTTCGGGTTGGAAGGGATACGGGTTCCACATGTGTTTTTTCAGTGTCCCCCGATGCCCCCCCCCGCTGGGAATGCAGGGCAGAGTGGGGCCTTCGGGTTGGGTTTGGGTGGTTTGGTAGGTGGTGAATGAAGGACCCAGCCGGCTTGGGCTGGGTCAAGCTGGACACAAGATGGACTGGGCCAGATTCGGCAAGATTGCCACCATGGAAGCAACAGGGCAGATCAGGGCAAGTGTTAGGCCGGGCATGTCCCCCATACAGGAGCAGCTTGGAGAAAAAAATAAAAATAGTCCAAGAATGCCAAACAATGATCAAAAACAATTACCGAAAAATCGTCCCCTGACTATTGTTTACCTCGTCTCGAAGATTCCTCCTCTAGAGGGACGGGCCCGGCTTCAGGCAAGTGGTACACGAACCCTCCTCACGGCGGGCAGGGGCCCTCCGAGACGTCCGCAGACAGCAGCACGCTTGCCGCAGTCCTCAGCCCTTGGAGGCCCGCCTTTGGGGGCTCGTGGGCCGCGAGAGGGCGATCGGGGGCAGCACGTTTCGGCCCCTGGAGTGGGGACACTCCTTTTCCCAACGTTCCGGACCTGTTTTGCCAACTCCCCTGACCTGCCTTCTCCTGTCGACCAGGCAGAGAGGACCTGGGGCCGTGTTTTCTGAAGGGGCCCAGGGGTACAAAAATTATCCTGGCGAAAGACCCAGCCATACGCAAGTGTGAGAGACGCAAGGCAGGTGGGACGAAGCAAAGGATCTTTCCTATGGGGCCACGAACCGTGTGAGGGGGTGCGCCAAAATGGGGCGGGGCCGCCATGCGAACCCTGCCACTGGGGCCTTCGGTGCAGCTGGCTATGGGGCCACGAACCGTGTGAGGGGCCGCCATGCGAACCCTGCCACTGGGGCCTTCGGTGCAGCTCCCTATGGGGCCACGAACCGTGTGAGGGGTGCGTCAAAATGGCGCGGGGCCGCCATGCGAACCCTGCCACTGGGGCCTTCGGTGGAGCTCCCTATGGGGCCACGAACCGTGTGAGGGGTGAGCCAAAATGGGGCGGGGCCGCCATGCGAACCCTGCCACTGGGGCCTTCGGTGGAGCTCCCTATGGGGCCACGAACCGTGTGAGGGGCGCGCCAAAATGGGGCGGGGCCGCCATGCGAACCCTGCAACTGAGGCCTTCGAGGACTCCTTATGGGGCCACGAACAATGTGAGGGGTGCGCCAAAACGCGGGGCCGCCATGCGAACCCTGCCACTGGGGCCTTCGGTGCAGCTCCCTATGGGGCCACGAACCGTGTGAGGGGTGCGCCAAAATGGCGCGGGGCCGCCATGCGAACCCTGCCACTGGGGCCTTCGGTGCAGCTCCCTATGGGGCCACGAACCGCGTGAGGGGTGCGTCAAAATGGGGCGGAGCCGCCATGCGAACCCTGCCACTGAGGCCTTCGGTGGAGCTCCCTATGGGGCCACGAACCGTGTGAGGGGTGCGCCAAAACGCGGGGCATTCATGCGAACCCTGCCATTGGGGCCTTCGGTGCAGCTCCCTATGGGGCCACGAACCGTGAGAGGGGTGCGCCAAAATGGCGCGGGGCCGCCATGCGAACCCTGCCACTGGGGCCTTCGGTGGAGCTCCCTGTGGGGCCACGAAACGCTGTACTGGGTGGGTGAAACGCAGGGAGGAGGGAGGAAGAAGAAGAAGAAGAAGAAGAGGAGGAGGAGGAGGAGGAGGAGGAGGGGGAGGAGGAGGAAGGAAGGAAGGAAGGAGGAACGCGGGGCACCGTCTCTTCAAAACGAAGACCCAACACCAGAGGATGGTTGGGAAAAAACAAATCCAAGGACTCCACATGTTCCCATCCTTATTTTCTGGAGTGTCGTCTTTCCCCCCCCCCAGACTTCCAAAATTATCCCGCTCCTCCCTAGGAATTGGCGGCTATTTGTGTCGGTGTGTCGATGACGACGACGATGACGATAACGATGACAATGATGACGATGACGATGACGATGACGATGACGATGACGATGGGAATCGGCGATGGCTTGTGTCCGTATGTGTATGTGTATATGTACGTGTGCATGCGTATATGTATGTGTATGTGTATGTGTTTGTGTTTGTGCTTGTGTTTGTGTCTATGGATGTGTCTGTGTATGTGTAGGAGTATGAGTATGTCTATGCGTATGTGTATAAGTATGTGTACGTGAATGCGTACGTGTAAGTGTATGTGTATGTGTGTGTGCTTCCCTCCTAACTTTCGTAAGACCATGGCTCTGGAGGCCCGCTGGGATAGAGGAGCCTCTCTGGTCGTTGGAGCGTGCACGGAGCCCTCTCTCTGGCTCTGCGGCGCGCCCCCCGAGGGGGGGCGGAGAGAAGGCGAGGGGGCGGGCTTTCGCAGCAGGCCCGCAGGCCCCCCCGGCTTTCCGAGAATGTGTTTTTCGGCGGTGGGCAAGCCTCCCTTCAGTAAACCACCCTTGAATGAAAACGGCCTAGGGCCGAAACCGACGGACCTGGACCCGCAAAAATGACGCGCCGCGGCGCCCTCTCGCGAACCGAAAACGGCCAATTCGCTAATCGACGCGTCAGGGTAGGAGGTCTGTCAACCTCCGAGTGTTCTAATAGACAAGCGCGTTCCACTACTCGCACAGCAGCTACTCGCAAATGGCCTGGATCCGCCGCGGGTGATTCACGGTATATTACATCGAGGCCCGGAAGGCCCCCCGGCCTCCCGAGAAGATCTCTTCGGCGGTGCGCACACGGGGGTAGGGGGAGCGGGGAAGGCGTCTTAGAAGGAGGCTGCTTCTTGGAAGGTGCCGGCCTTACATCTATAGAGAAGGTCCGCGTCTTCTAAGAAGCAGAGGTAATTCTAAGAAGCCCCCCCCCCTTCCCCTACCCCCCTCTGCGCGTGGCCGAGCTCTAAGCCTTCCCCAGAAACAAAAAGCAAAAACTGCACGAACACAAAGCTTTTGGCGTTCCGCGCGGAATTCTTGGATCTGCACCGGACCCCCCTCCCTGGCGCGCTCCGCGCGCCAGGGACGGCGCTGAAGGCGCCGCCAGGGGGGCCCCAGCGCGGATCCAAGAGATCCGCGCAGAGCGCCAACAGTTTATGTGTATGGCGTTTGTTTCTTCTTCGATTCCCCGAGGACGCAGAAATAACCTCTCAGATGGCGCGGGAGGCATCTGGGGGCCGCCGCGGCGACCTCCGAGACCTTCAGGGGCCCCTCCTCACCGAGACGGTGCTCGGGCGGTGACAGAGGGCAGGAGAAACACCCTCATGCGAAAAGAACACCCCTACACCACTCTGTTTTTCCCCGAGGGTCTCACACTCCACGGGGGAAAATGGCTGTCGAGTCCCGTCCGGAGAAAGCACTCGTTGGGAATCAGAGGCCCGTCCAACCTCTGCCGAGGGCACCACCCGGCCAAGCAGGCGCTGGAGGAGCACCCCTCCGCGCGCACGGGACCACAGCAAGGCTAAGGCAGACAAGCAACGTGCGCTGAGCGCGATGGCGAGGGTGAGTGAGACGAGGTGACAAAGATCCGGCATTGGCAGAAGTGAATTTAGTGGGACCTGGTTTGGTGATGTGTGCTGGGGGACGCCGCCCCCGCCCCGTTCCACTAACCGGAACTGCCGTCACCCGAAAGAACACCAGCTACGGCAGACCTGGTTGAGTGACTCTGGCCAATCTAGGGGCTCTGGGGCCCTACTACTTACTGACCTGGTCCCCTTCCCTTGGGTCCTGGCTGTACCCCAAAAAAGAGGGAGGAGGCCGCTCGTGCCCCCCCGCGCAGCAGCCGCGGCAGCGCCGCGAGCTGGCCAGCGCGTGCCGCCCGTCGCACCCGCTGGCGAGTGGACTATTTTTTGTCTATGTTTGAACATTCCTCCTGTAAGGGGACAGAAATCGTCCCATGACTGTTTTCTGACTATTCTTGAATAGTCCTCCTGTAAGGGGACAGGCCCGATTTAAGATAGGGGGACGCGGCAATCACATCCAAGGGGACGCCGGCGGCCGTCTCGGCGCCCGCGTGGCGATGGAGGACCTGGGTCGTCCTCCCCCGGGGGAATCCGGAGGCCTCCGTGCGGCACGCGAGAAGCCGCGCCCGCCAAGACTGCCCCTGCTCTCTCCCCCAGAGCCTGTTTTTTATCATTCACGGTGACGGACGTGATCGGGGGAGGGGGGGGAGAGTCTGTCCCCCCCCGGTAAAAATCACGGCGGGGGGCCGCTGGAAATCTCAGGGCATCCCCAGATAATCCGCAGGAGGTGTTTGCAAACGTGGGCAGACTAGCGTGACATAATCCGGGGGGCAGGGAGAGAGCGCCGATCACGGCCGTGATCGCCCAGACCTTGTTAAAAACAGGCCTCTCAAGATGGTCTGAGGTCGGGCGTGTCCCCCTACAGGCGCAGCTTGGACGAAAAAGATGCATAGCTCAAAGTGTTCAAAAATAGCATAAATAATGCTCAAAAAATCGTCCCCAGACTATGTTTTGACTCTTTTTGAACATTCCTTCTGTAGAGGGACAGGCCCGACGTAAAGACAGTCGCAAGGAGATGACAAGAGCGGGCAGAGATATGAGTCGGGACTCTCTCTCAGAGCCAGCGGGCCCAGAGGATATGCAGCAGGCGCAGCGGCCAATCCAGAGTGCTCCTGGACGCTCTGGGTGCGCTCCAGAGCGCTCCGTGAAAGTGCAGATGTTTCCTTTATAGGGCGCACAGAGACATACTAATACTAGATGTCCTCATTGGAGGCGCGCGTCCGACCCGAACATGTGGTGCACCCATCTTGTAGCATATCGTTTCCCGAGCGGCGTGGCCAGAAAGCGCCCGCCACGACGCATATGCTATAAGAGTTCTCGGTGCGCGCGTCGCCCCCGGGGGGGGGGGCGACGCACATATAGTATAAGTATGTTGGGGTGATGCCGACTCTAAGCATGCCTGGCTCCCCCCCCTCTTGGGGGAGGGCCGATGAGGGAGGTCTGGGGCAGGCGCCACGGCGGCCGCGATCTCATTGCTGTCCCACGTGGCGTACGCGTCCTCGCCCTCCTGCGGGAAAGATAACGGGGGGGGCGGCGCCCCCGATCGTCGACGTGGTGGGGTCTCCGACAGGGGCGAACAAACTGGGGCCCAACCCGGGGATATGCCTGTCAGGGTTCTATCGGACGCCCGGTGAAGCAGCTCGACCCCCTGAAGTCGGCTACCCATTTTCTGACACCCCGGTGAGCATGTCCAGGCCCCCGGAATCGGTAGCCCATCGTGGCCCACCATCGCGGCCCCCCATCGCGTGCCCACATCCCTGCATCGGTACCCCCGTTATCCTTATCATGCTACCATCATGCTCCCTGAACAACCCACTTTACCGATATGTTATTATAACCCTCTCCCCCTTCTGCCCCCCCCCCTTTTCCCCATCCATGTCTCTTTCCCGAATCCAGACCCCAGTATACTGCCCATTCCTTTTGTCCCGTTATCCCGAATACTTTTGTCCATACCTCCCCATCATGGCCCTCACGTTGCCTCCCATCGCAACTACTCCAATGTTGTACTACAAGGGAGAGGTTCACAACCTTCCAAGACGAGCAGTTTAGGACCCACCCAGACCAGCCATGAAAAGGCGGCCTCTTGCCCAGAACCCACGAAACCCTCCAAGACAGTTCCGAGCAGACGCCCCCGCAAATCAGACCCCACCCCCCTTTTATTGCGAAATCCAAAATAGGTTTCTGCCGCATGGGTGGCACTTCCTCTTTCTTCCGAGCGGTCAGTTTCGGCGGCAAGCCCAAGGGGGAGGTGAGAAGGGGCCGGCCTTCTCAGAAGGTTCGGAAGTCTCCCAGCCGTCCGAGAGGCTTCACGAGCCTTCCCCGAAGACTGTTTTCCGTCGGCGGCGTAGCGCAGGCGATCCGCACCAGCGTCGGGCCAATCGGGGGCACCGATAGAGGCCGAAAGATGAAAAATAGTCCAATCATACTCCCAAACGATCCTGGAAATGCTCCAAAATCGTTCCTTGGTTATTTGTTGGTAGTTTTGAAAAAAAGAAGAAAAAAAAAAAAAAAAAAAAAAAAAAAAAAAAAAAAAAAAAAAAAAACTCCTGTAGAAGGACAGGCCCGACGTAAAGGTAGGCGTTCAGAAGCGGAAGAATTCCGCGGTGAGCGGGCCAGGGCGGCCAGCCAGGGCAGCGAGGTCGCGGCAGCAGCCGGGGCCAGCGGTGTAGACTAAATAGGACCAGCACAGGGACTCGAGGACTGCCATCAGCAGACTGCTGGTGCCCACCATGTACGTCAACCGTGCGGTACCCACCGCACTCGCGCAGCAGCCGCGTCAGGGGCTGGGCGTAGCGCCAGGGCGGCGCCAGAGGGGGGGCTGAGCTGCAAGCCGAGGGCGAAGCAGCGCGGCGGCGCCCTGGCGGCGCGAGGCGAGGGAGGGAAGAAGGACAGGGGTGGGGCGGAAAGGCGCCCCCCGAAGACACAGAAAAACTCTCAGAAGAGGCGAGGGCTTCTGAGAAGCCCGGCCGCCTTCTGAAAAGGCCCTTCTCCTTCTCAATTCCTCCCCTCGCTCGCCGCTCGGAACTGGGCACCGGCGCAATGCTCGCCATCGCTCGGACGTCCAATCCCCGTGCAGTGGACGATCTCGTGCGTGTGTTTCTCTATTCGCAGCACACGGGAACACTTTGAGGCAACAAGGGTGCACAGCGCGGCGGAATCCAGCAGAGGACGCCCTGCTTCGGCAATCGCAAATGCCCAGGAAACAAGACACAGCTTAATACCTGAAGCATCGCCCTGAGCGCTCGGCAGAGTAATCATTGCGAGGTATCAACGCTAACAGAGCAGCGCATGAATCCAGCTCCACAAACAGAAGCAGTGACAAAAAAAAAGACATCCAGTATGTACCTGGTCATGGGTGAAAACGGTATGCGATGGAATCCTTCCTCCAAATCATACTGTCAATTCAAGGGTTCAGATGAGCACCCGCACGTGCCGTAAATTTTCGATTTACGCGTGCAGCATGTCTCTAAACCAGATGTGCAAATCAGCGCGTCCTGGCGAGCGTCTTGGACTGCGGCATCCTCTGAAGCATCAACAAGGAGTACCAGCGATACTCGTAAGTAGCGCTGGCAACATTGGCGGTGAATGGGATAACTGGTGCTGACTTAGCCCGCCAAGGCCACCAAAAAGTCAAGCAAGATGACATCAATCGTGCCATGTGCAAAATCCTCTCGTGGCAGGGCGTGGCAGGGGATCTCCTACGTCCTCGACCCCTGACTGTTCTGCAACTGGCGCGTCCATAGTTGAAGGCTCCTTCTCCTCCTCGAAGCCGCAGACCTCGCTCCGATAGTCTCTTGAGCTGGCGCCGGGGCAGGCACATCGCAGCGCATGGGACAGCCGAGCTCAAGCCCGCCCGCGAGCCAGGTGCGGATGCCTTTGCGACATGGAAGGCATCACCGCAGGCGAGCTTTGCAAGAACACATCGTCGGCCGAAAAGTCCGCCGCGAGTCCACCTCCTTCCCCTCACCAACTGATCATTGCACCGGCCTTGCAGACATGCTGCAGCGGATTTTTGCCCGAAACGGCGCGTGAAAAACTAAATGAATGTCGCATGGATGTTTTTCGGTCTTCATTCCTGGCCAAACAAAATCCGCACGGAATTCACCTCGAAGTCCGGAACAACATTCTCCGGGACACTCCGGGCCCATCCTATCGTTTTCCGAACGAAGTGCGCTCTGCGACGTTGGCGCCATGAAACTGATGCTGGTGGTGGTGGAGAAAAGCACATCTTGGAAGCAGCCAAGGTCGTTCTCGGCGTCGCCGTGCCTCGCCCGAGGCAGCCTGTCCGCGCGGGCGACGGGCGCCCGCGCACCCCGCCGGCCGCCGGGTCTGCGCGCACGGCCTCTCCAGCCCGCGGCGCAGCACCTCCCGCGGAGAGGTGGAGCACGCTCAGCACGGCGGAGGCCGAGTGGGCATGCTTGGTGCCCGCAGGCGCGTAGATCTGCACACCGCCGCAGTATGGCACGGCAGAAGGAAGCAATTGCCGGGGGCGCGCAAAGATGGACTAGCGGTCCGCTTGGAGCGCGGTCGCCAAATCCATGGATCGGGGGAGGTGCCCTCCGCAAAATGCGGCTGGTGCCGCCTCGTTCGGCGGCGGAAATCCGAGATTTCCCATGGAAATGGGACCCGTCGCTAATCCACGCCTCCTTAATCCATGTTTGCGAAAGCCTGAGAATAGGCATGCTTGGTGCCCATAGGAAAAAAAAAAATCTGCACACAACCCGAAGTAGGGTACGGCAGAAGAAAAGAAAATCAGTGGGCACTCCCCCGCTGCCCGAAACTCAAAGTGGGCACGCGCGGGGAAGACTGCGGTCGAAGTGCAGCTCATTCAACCCACCCGCCGACATTGATCATCGGAGGGGGGTTATTGACAGTTGGATGCGGCATGAGTGTTCGCTAACTTCTTCCGAGGCCTGTATGAACGATCGTATGCTCAAGATCGTGAGCGTCTGCTGTAGAACCAGCACTGGCTGCAGGCGATCACAGACCATGTGCAGGCGCCCTGGATTCGACAGCGCTGTGAGGAGGCAGCCGACCAGAGTGCAACCTCCATGTGGAGTCGCTTCTTCATAACAAGCTTCACGAGCCCACCATCGAAACATATCTGCCGTTCGCCTCTGATCTCGCATCCTTCTTCAGAGAAGTCGACGAGCACGGTGCCGTCTGCATACATAACAGCAAGCCGAATAGCCAAATCACTCGCGTACGCGGCCTGGATCATCTCGACGGGTGATATGCAGGACCGTCTAAGACCCACGCACGACATGGCGACAGGGTCATTGAGGGCGTCAGACGTCTCCATGGCGGCCTCTCGAGTTTTGGAAGCCTGTCTTGGGTCATGGTGCCGAGAAGGCGTGAGTCCACTTTGAGCCTATTGTCGCATGATGCTCCAAGATGCTCCTTGAGAGTTCTCGCCGAGAAACAGTGCACACATCCGAGCGATGCCAAGGCAGTAGAGGCCTCCGAAATGGGGCCCGAGCAGATGGGGTCAGAAGATCGCGCCGCATCGGCGATGCATCGCCGATGCAATGACGATGCGCCCGCGACGTCGGCAATGCACCGGCGACATCGTCGTGGAGAAAATCGGGCTCCATATCGAGCCGCATCGCTGATGCATTGTGAGTCATTGGCGATGCGGCGATATCCTCCGACCTCATCTACAGTCTGATCTAAAGACATCCGTCAAAAACATGAAAACCTCCGAGGGCCAAAACACACACACACACACACACACACAACCTACGAGGGTACCCATCTCAGGATGCACAGAATGGCACCCTCCCCGAACCGACCTCGATCCTATGCCTCACGAAGCCAGGACGAGGATCAACTCGGATGAGGATATATCGAGAACCTCTGAACGCCCGCGGCTTTGGAGGATGTCTCGGGCGCAGCGGCCTTCTCAGAGCGTTCCGGAACGCTCTGGAACGGATTTTTCCTCGTCCCAGCCCCGTCCGAAGATGGCCGACCTGAGACCGTCAGTACCAACGGTTTCCCGCACAACGGACGAGCGTCTGGGCCTCGCTGAGACCAGGCGGGTGAGGCCGAGGCCTGTGGATCTTGCTGCGCAGCTTCTGCCCGTGCAAGGCATACAAGACATTTGCATGGGAGGAGGAGTGGGAGGAGGGGGAGTTTTCCGCTGCGCCCGCCAAATTAACTGGCTTTTTACCGCATCGCTAAGTCGGTCTCTCTTTTCCATACCCGAACGCCGCGTGCTACCACAGTAAGCCCGAGCAGCGTCAAAAAGGAGTAGCCTCTTCGTCCCTCTTCCCCCTCCCCAACCCTCTCGACATCTGTCTGTCTGTCTGTCCATCGGCGGTGGACTAACCTCCCTCTAGGAAACCACCCTTGAATGAAAACGACCTAGGACCAAAACCGACGGACCTGGACCCGCAAAAACGACGGCCGCGACGCCCTCCCGCGAGCCGAAAACGGCCAGTCCGCTAATCGACGTGTCAGGTAGGAGGTCTATCAACCTCCGAATCTAGGAGGCCCAGAATTAGGTCAGGCCTGACACCCTACAGGGGGATTTTGGACGAAGATTAAGAATACCCAAAAATACCCCCAAAAATACCAAAAAATAATTGAAAAATCGTCCATTGACTATTTTTCGACTATTTTCGAATACTCCTCCTGTAAAGGGACAGGCCCGACTTAAGCCTGGAGGCAGAGGAGCCGCCCGCGAACGAGGGGGGGGGGGCTGGGGGGAGGCGCGGGGCCTCCGGGGAACGGGGCCGGCACAGCAGCGGAGACGGCCTGTGATGGGCCCGTTTCCACCACCACTACCAGATGTAGGAGAGGGAGGAGGAGGAGAAGGAGGAGGAGGAGGAGGAGGAGGAGGAGGAGGAGGACCTCCTCATCCTCCCTGGGCAGGGCTGGGGGGAGCTTACAGCGGGGGGGGCGGGGGGGGCAACTTGCTTTCGAGTTTCGGAGCCCCGTTCTCAGTGCTCATCCGGGGGACTGCGTGCTACCGAATCGTGGGATCACGCTGCGTGGCGTGAGGGTGAGGCGCTCGTGCGAGTCGGAGTGAAGGGTTCATGAAGCGGTCCTCAACGCTGCCTGATAAAATATAAATAATGGTATCGGGACCTCGCCAATTTACCATTACACACCTCGACGTCGCGCCCACCTCGTGAGGACGCTACAAAAAATTGGCGGCGCGCACAAGGGGGTGGAGCAAGGGGGAAGGGCTTCTTAGAAAGAGGCAGCTTCTTAGAAGGCGCCGGCCTTCCATCTATAGATAGGGCCCGCGCCTTCAAACGAAGCGCGCCCCCACTGTATGTTGCTCCCATCGCACTTGAGGACCACATCCCAGGCAGAATCTCGAGCACCCAGAACAAGTATCGAAACGGTGTCGAACGAGTATCGCCTCGCAGGGCACGACGCGTGAAAACCCTCCAGTTTCGGTGCTTTCTTGGTGCTCGAATTGTTTGTTTCGGACGTTTGCGAATTGGAACCTTGCGAGTAGTGGAACGCGCCCGGTGATTGGAGGCCGAAGTTGGGATTCTTTGGGCGACGGGCGACCAATGACAACGCCAAAGGACGGGCCGCGGAGGCAGGGACACACGGGTACCCCAGATGAAGGCGCGCGTCCTCTTGCCAGGCGCGCTGCGAAATCGGCGTTTGGGCAACGCTCAATGGGGGGGCGACACATGAGGGGGGCAAGAAAGGTGCCTTTTCGGGCCCTGAAGGCTTCCTTCTGGGCCCTCAAGGGTGCGGGCAATACTTCTGTCCATATCCACTGCAGTATGGAGTTTCGGGCTCCTTTCCCAAGAAACCCGAGACGCACTGGATATGGATACATTTGCCCCCTAGAGGCTCGATTTTTATCCATATCCAGTGCGCCTCGGCCTTGTGGCGCCGCTTCCAAAGAAGTCCAAGAGGCACTGGATATGGACATGAATATTGCCCGCAAAGGGCCCCTTCAGGAGCTCTCAGGGGCCCCTTTCTGCAGCCCTCACTGCCCTCCCCCCCATGATCGCCCCCCCAAAACGCGACGCCCAGGGCGTTCAACATACCTCCACCCCGAGGGGGGGAAGGGGACGAACCTCTGCCGACCGTGGCTGGCCGCCTTTCGCGCTGCCAGGCCACGTCGCGGTGCAGAGCAGAGGAGGAGACTGTACGCGAATAGGCGAGGACAGCAGGGACGGGCCGCGTGCCGTGCGGCCCGACGCCGCGGAAAAGAAAACGTGACACCGCGCGCAACCGCGACTGGGGTCCCGGACCCCACCCCTCCTGCGGCACTCCCCGAGTCAGATCGGCCCGCGAAGACCCCGGCGCCTCTCCGACGCAGCAGCGGCAGCCACGACAGCAGCGGCAACGACGTGGTTGCAGCAGCACTCAGACCAGCGGTGAGGGGGGGGCGGCGTCCTCCTCCTCCCAGACGGAGTCAGGCACCTCCGCGTCGACGTCGCCGAATGGCTCGTACTCATCGTCGTCCTCGTCCGACTTGTCGCACTCCTGCCGGCTGTCCAGTCGCGCACGGGGGGCACAGCTGGGCCGCGCCGAGCCGGAGTACGAGCAGGGGGGGCCGCGGTGCGCCTTTCAATGGCGAGGAGCAGGGGGGAGGGGGGAGGGGAGGAGCAAGAAGGACGAGGTTTCTTGCTTGAAAGGGGCGGAAGCTCGACACTCTTGTGCTCCTGATGGGAAGGGGAGGGAGTAGGAGGGATGAGCTCGAGGAGCAAGCAGGCCAAGCAAAGGAAGGGGGCGAGGGGAACGGAGAAGGAGAGAGGACGGTAAAGAAGGCAGAGACCCGTGCGTGGGAGGCCCTTGGATGCCACGAAGGATGCCTGGCGCCTCACGGAAAAGAGAGACCTTGCGAGGCCTGTGAAGCATGTCGGAGGCAGCCGACGCTACTGCTCGCAGAATCCGAATGAACAGTACATAATACAGTTGCTGCGAAAAGCCAGGCCAAGCGAAAATGACGGGGCGTGTCCATGCGGGTGCTTGCCAAGAGCCCAGAGATTCAAACTGGGAATCCTACGGCGACCCGCATACTACAAGAAGACATGGAACAAAGGGAGGCACGACTGATGGCGGGCAGAAGCGGCGGCACTCTCCCAGCGTACAGACTGACCTCGCTGTATGATCGTAGTCCACCGTCGTTTCATCGGCACGTTGGGGTGTCTGATAATGCCTGTCCGTCGGCCGCCTGGTGGGGATGTTGCCGTTTTCAAGCCCCCCCGAAGCCCGCACGCCCGCCCCTTGCCTTGAAATCGCGTTGCTCTTCGTGGCCGAAGACCAGCACAAGACGGCTGTAGACAGCTCCGAGACTGCCGAAAACAGCCACAGGACACCTGGTAGACGTTCTAAGCCCGAAGGCTACCCCAAGATGCCTGCCGCCCCCCCCCAAGAAAAACTCCAAGATCCCCCAAAAAAGCCGCAGCCAGCACCCAAAAGACGCCGACGGTGGGCACCCATCAACGCCCACGCGAAGCAAACATCAGAGAAAACACCGCGGGGGATACCAGCTGTCTTACTCTCGACGCTTGTCGGCTTGAGATTGCTTTTCGGGAGAAGCTCTCGAGAGCCCCATGACGCCCTCAAAAACGGCCCAAAAGAGGGCACGAGAGTCGGCGAACCAAGACTGGCCCATAACTCCACCAGGACGGGCCAAGACCGACCCACGAGGGCTCGAAGACCGCAGACATCCCCACACAGACGGCCCCAACATGGCTCAACGAGGAAGCCTCGAGATAACTTGATATGGAAGTCACCTCAAAAGCAATCCTCGCACCCCTCCCGGGGTCCACTCCTGGATCGAGCTCCAGCGGTCCTGAACCTCCTCCTGTCCTCCCCTTCCTCCTCCCCAATCCCCGTTCCTTAAATCGAACTCCTCCAAGACGCCCTCCCCCCGACGTATGTGTAGTGCTGGCTGGGCGTTCGCCTGAGGCCATCTGACAAATCACTATGTTTGCTGCAGCTACACGGGTGGAGGGTGGGTCGTTTTCACAATGGGGCTCTCCTTGACATCGCGCGTCCGTCTCGAAACTCTTGCAATATCTACAGGGAAGTGGGGGTCGTTTTCACAAGCTGGCTCTCGCCTGAAAGGCCACGCACACTCTTCTTCAACGTGCGCAGCGGATATAAGGATGAAGGGCAACTCCTTTTTCGATGTCGGGCTCTCGCCCAAGCGCCGTACGCAATAGTCTGAAAAACGTGCAACAACTTGAAAGATGCAAGGGGCCATTTTCAAAAAGAGGCTCCCTGGAGCAGCGCACCTTCGCTATGAAGGTTTGCAACAACTACAAGAATAGATGGAGGGTAGTGTTCGAAGTGGGGCGTTCGCCTGAGAGCCGCGCACAAACGTCGTAAACGTTTGCACCAACTGCAAAGATGTAGCGTGGGCCTTCTTAAAAATCTGGCTATCGCTTGAGACCCCTTGAAATCAACGGACAGAACACCTGTAAAAACCGCACGGGTGGATGGCAGTTGCGTTGTAAACTCAGGCTCTCGCTCGGGACCTCCACCGAATGCTAGAAACAACTAGGTAATTGTGTTCACGTCTTACACGGAGGGGAGGGGGGGGGCGTTTCCTGTTTACGACGGAGCTCTCTCGCTGGCCACGTCACTGAGCTGTATGATCGCCTGCTCGCGTCCCTCATTGAAGGGGCCCTGGGACACACAAATCGATAGACAAAAATAACAGGATTCCCCATATGTTCCCATATTTTCTGGGCGTTCGTCTTCCCCCCCACTTCCCCCGATTTTCCCATATCTTCTGGGGAATCGACGATCATTTGTGTCTCTATGTGTGTTTTCCCCCCCTGACTTCTGCCAGGCTGGACGGATGCCAGGCGTCTACTCTTCAAAAGCGAAGCCTTCGCCTGAAAGGCAGACCCACGGGGCGCTCGCCTCTCAAAGGGGGCGCTCCGTGCGGTGCGAAGGGAGGCCTGCGGGGACTTCTGGCGCGAGACCTCCGGGGCGGGAAGGCCTCCTGTCGCACCTCTCACCGCTCCGGCCTTGCAGACGTGCTGCAGCGGATCTGTGCGTGGAGTTCGGCATGGATTCTTTCCCGAAGCGGCGGGCGAAAAACGGAGTGATTTTTTCGCTTGGATTTGTTTGGGTCTTCATTCCTGGCCACAAAAAATCCGCACGAAATCTGGAACGAAATTCTCCTGGACTCTCCGGGCCCATCCTGTCGTTTTCCGAAGGAAATCCGCCCTGCGACGTCGGCGCCATGATGCCAGCGCGCGCGACGATGCGGTCGAAGATGGACAAACAAAAATGCAGCGCAGCGCACCGGACCCTGACACAGAAAACGCCAGCGCCTCGTGCGCGCCGCAGCGCGGATGCGCGACGCAGGGGCGCCGCGACGAGGTCGCCGCCACGAACGCCGGGCAGCGCGCACGAGCGGGCGCAAGACAGGCGACGCGCGAGCGCGCAGCGGCCCCCGCGCACGGGCATCCCGGCGCGCTGGAGCGGCGACGGTGCTCGGGGGCGGCCAAGAGGGGGGCGTGCAAGAGGGGGGGCCCAAATCATGGCCGGCGGCATGTGCGCGGCCCAGGGGGGGGGGGGGGCGGGGACGCATTGAAACAAGAAGAGGCGCCATGAAGTCTGGGGGGATCTCATGGACCCCGCCATGATATCCCCCCCCCCCAGTCATCACCCCCCTCTTTGCCGCCCCCGACGTGCCGAGCCAGCCTCAAGCTAGCACGGGGACCCGGACCCAGCCCGACCCGGCGCGGCAAACAGTGCCCCTCGCACACCTCACCCGCACGCGCGAGCGGCCGCTCCCGAAGCCCGTCGGAGGGAGAGCCGCTGTGCCCACCCGGAGCGCCAAACAATGCGAGAAGATGTCTGCTGCACTATCTGCGATACTCGTTGCTGCCGAAAGTGTTGCGCTGGCGCGGATCTTCGCTGCAAACGTTTCCGCGCAGTGTTGCTGCACATGCTGCCGCACACGGTGCTGCACATGCTGCTGCATGTTGCTGCAGATTGTGCAGCAAAATCGCAGAAAATGTAGAAGCAAATTTCGTCGCACCTTTCGTCTCGGATTCGGGTGCACGCTTCAATGATAGGTCCACCTGGGGTTAACATCAGGCGTGGAACTGGAATCCACATGAAGTGGGCTACTCCGAGCACCGGGACGACACCGATGCTGCCAATGGCTTGGCAATCATAGAGCCGCCCAGCGCGGAATAATGAGACTCACCCATCACAATGGCTCCAAATGATACACCCCATTGAAAACCGTACGTCCGAAACAATCAACGTTACTTCGCAACCAGCCTCGTTCGGCGAACATCACCAGGGCTGGCATGGATATTGCAGCATCGTTGATGGTTACTGGGTTTTCTCTGGAACATGTCCTCCTTCTCGTCCCCCTGTCTCGTCCTCGTCACCCCACTCGTCCTGACTCCTCCTGCATCTCTCGTCCTCTTACAAATCCGCCACCGCGCCTCGTGGCACGGAGTGGGCGTGTCCTCAGGTCCTCTGCCCAAACTTCCAAGCCGGAGTCCTCGCTTCCCGCGTGGCCCCTGGGCTTCGAGAAGTGGTTCCGCATAATTTGTCCAGGGCCAAGAGGGCCCAAAGACGGACCAAGAGGGCCCCAAGCGGCCTCCAAGACAACCCAAGAGGGCACCTAGACACCCAAAGATCGCCCCAAGACGCCCAAGATGGCCCCCAGATGGCTCAAGAGGCCTCCAAGACGCCCCATGAGGCCTCCAAGAGGCTTCCGAAGGGGGACCAAAATGCCCAAAACCATTGATTTTCTGAAAGTGTTGATGGATGTTGGCGATCTCGCGTGTTCGGCTCCCCGACGCTCCACGACAGCCCAAGAGGCCCCCAAGACCACCCGAGGACGGCCCAAGAGACCTCCAAGAGGGCCCAAAGACGGCCTGAGCGCGCCCCAAGACGGCTCAAAAGGCGCCCAAGACGGCCCAAGAGGGCTCCGAGCCGGCCCAAAAAGGGACCAAAGAGAGGGAACACGAACCGAAAATCCTAGCCTTCCGCCCCAACAAGCCGCCCAGGGGCCCCAAGAGTCGCCCAAGAGGCACCAAGGCGCCTCCAAGAGGCACCCAAGCGGCCCCAAGGGGCCACCAAGAGGACCAAAAGAGGCCCGAGAAGGCCCCAAAACCGCCGCCCCCTGTCGATTCATCGCAGGGGTGCCTGGCGTGCTGGACCCTTCGGTTTTGGATTTGGTTCATTTTCCAAAAGAACTCCCGCTGGGGCTTCGGCCCGTCCCGCCGGCCACCCGGAAAAGACCTCAAGGAGCACAATTCCAATTTTTGTTCGCTCGAGATGGCCCAAGATGGCCTCCAAGATGGCTACGTTGGCCCAAGATGGCCTCCAAGATGGTCCAAGATGGCCTCCAAGAAGTAAGCCCCCCACGAGGGCAGAAAAAACTTCTCAGAAGGCCCCAGGGCCTTTGAGAAGCCCCGCCGCTTTTTGAGAAGTCCTCCTCCTTCTCACCCAAGGGGGAACGATAGGGGGGGATAGGCATAGGGGGTGATGCATCGACCCCCAATCGCCCATGGATCGCCGATAGGGGTCTGATGGCCCCAACCCGCCCAGGGAGGTGCGTATTCACTTCCTGGAGCCCATCGCCGATCTGTCGGCGACGCATCGCCGATGCACCCGAACATATAGTATACCCATCTGATAGTGCATCGTTTACCGAGCGGTGTGGCCAGAAAGCGCCCGCGACGACGCATATGCTCCAAGATTTCTCGGTGCGCGCGTCGCCCCTGGGGGGGCGACGCACACATAGCATTACTACGTTGGGGGTGACGCCGACTGTGGTCCACACGCCCCTCTAGGACGCACACGACTTCCCGCCTCCTTCCCGCTCTCCAGGCCGCCTGAGTGCGCGCCCCGCGCCCCGCGATGTGCTAATGCGGGCGCCCCTGCGCCCCCCTCGCCGCCCCCGGCGGCGAAGGGCAGCCCCTCTGCATGGCCCAGACCGCGCCGCGCGACGCGCGACTCTCTTCGGGCCCCGTGGTAGTGCCGGCTGGCCTGAGCATGACCCGGACTGCGCGGGGGGCCCATCGAGGCCAGCTGGGACTACTCGGCGGGGGGGGAGGGGCCCTGCCGAGGCTAGCTGGGGCCACCTCGGGGGGCTGCCTGCGGGCGACCCGAAGCCTTACCACCACCCCCTCCCTCGGCCACGTGGCACTCAGTCAAGAGGGAAGGATGAAGCGAATCCGCCCAGGGTCGGTCCCCAGAACCCTCCTGGGGCCCATCTGGTCCGTTTCTGACAGCCCCAAGAAAATCAGCCCCTGGAGACCGAGTGCGCAAAGAGCCCACGTCCAACCCAGCACCACGGAGCTCGCCGTCGCTTCGGTCTGGCCGGATTGAGTGCCGGGACACCTGAGACCCCCAGCCGACTTGAAAGACCCCCCCCCAGCCTCCCAGGGTGTAGAGAATGGCCTTCCCGCCATGTGTGGCCCTCTCGGCACTGCTCCGCCATAACTCTGCGTGCCACGCGTGCTGGTGCTATGCATTAGCCCACCTGGAAGGACAAAACCGTCTCCTCACTCGTCCCCCTCCGCGGGCACACGAAACGGGGATCAGGACAGGACGGGTGCCGATGTGCGCCCCAGGGGTCGGCCCTGTAAGAGCTCGGCAGGGGCGCCGGAGCGCCGAAACTCAGACGTCGCAGCGAATGGTTACTTTACGATCTCGAGTGTGTACTATTTGGCCCCAGAGACACATCCTTCCCATGAACTGGGCCTTGCGCGTCGTAAAAAGCACGAGAAAAGAGGGGGGGGCGCCCGCCCGGGGCCTGGCCTCCTCCGGCAGCTCCGCCGCCTCGGGCTTGTCTGGGACGAGGTTCTGAAGGGCCGGCGGCCGCCCGCTTCCCCGTCCACCCACGGCCCTCCTCTGCGGCGGCCGACGCTGGAAGCATGGCGTGCAGGAAGCGGGCCAGAAGCGCCGCGTCGCACGTTGTCCTGCCAGTGCCAACGGTGACAGGGGAGCATCAGGACCCCAATCCCGAGAGCTTGTGGGGCGCTCGGGCAGACGAAACATTTTGGGCCCAGCTCCAGGACATACAATCGACCCGTATCATAAAGATGCGCGATAAGGAGGCAAAGGCCTTGGACGCCCATCTCGGCGCTTTTCGAGCGGGGCGCGGCCAACCAGTGTGGCCAAGGACGGACTGATCGGGCAAAGATGCAAGGGTACTCTTGTGAAGAGGGTGGGGGGCCTCCCCGATACGGGTGCGTCCAGCCAACAACAAGGGGGTGTTTCCTCGACCTCGCCCGTCTCCTCTGGCCGACTCAGTCTTCCCAGGGCGGTCTGGGCCGGGGGGCGAAACACGGCCTGCCCCCTTCGGTGATCTACTGGCCTGGGTCACTTCAGACCCCGGTCACACCGGCTTGCACGGTCCTGCAAGATCATACAGGATCTTCCAGGATCCTGCAAGCTAGCATGGGTCAGTGCACCCCTGGCCCTTCAGACTCTGCAAAATCCGGCGCCCTGGCTGACACTGACCCCCAGTTGCTCCGACCCCCGCCCCTGGACCCCCGACTCGCCCTCGCCTCCCTCGCCGTTGTGGGACACACCGCAGATCCCCGGAAATCCGACATCTCACAAGAATTGAAAAGCCGTGAAAAATCACGCGTGGAGCCCTACACCTTATGCTCCTGCGCCATATTTCGAGCCCGAACGATACGTGAGGGCCCTGGGGCCCAAACTTATGCGAACACGCCAGGCTCGAAAAAAATTAGTCGCCAGAATCTCAGGGTCGCCGTCCCCGCGTCTCCTCACGCCGCGGCCGAGGAGGAGGAGGAGGAGGAAGAGAAAGAGGATCTACAGGACTTACAGATTTCGAATAGCGACATTTCAATTAAAACGAGCCCGAACGTTCACTTCTCAGCGCCCTTGCACCGAGGCAGTTCCTCCGAAGGGCGGAAGAGTGGCAGTGGCCAAACAGAAACGTTCGCCCCGGGGCACCAGCGAGTTCCTCCGCGCCTGCGTGCACACTCCTCCGGAAAGAGGAGGCACCCCAGCGGCGCCTCCGCTGCTCCTGCGCGCGCAAGCAACTCACTCACGCTGACCCAAGACCCCGCCTGCAACTGCAGGTCGGGGCTCTGGAGCTCCCTCGACCGCCAGGCGGGTCACCTGACGCGAGGCGCGAAACTTGGCGTGGCACGCATCCATAACCCTCACACGACCACCACGCGGCGCGGGAGGACCCGAGTGCGGAGACTGGCGGTGGGCCAAACAGGATCCCAGCCGTTGAATTCCTCCACGCCCAACAGCACCGCGAACGGGTGGTTTTCCCCAGCAGGCGAGGCCGTGCCCAGAAAGCCACGCTGCCCCCCTTGGCCCGCGCGGCCAAGCGGGACAGCCGACATGGTTGAGCGGATTTTAATTCCCCCTGGGCCCCGATGAGCCGCCCACCCACCGAGGCATCCCTCCAGGGGCGAGGAAGAGAAAGAGGAGAAGGAAAAGGAGGAGGAGGAGGACGGGGAAAAAGGAGGAGGAGGAGGAGAAACAGGAGGAGGAGGAGGAGGAGGAGGACGACGACGACGAGAGGTTCGAGGCCGACGCGCGCAGGTCTGAGACTAGCGGGCTGGCCAAAAGAAGCGCGCGCACGCACCGAGCCACTGGCCAGGGCGAGCACCTCGCCAGCCACTCGGGCGGGCGTAACAGTATGGAAGGGTGCCAAATATGTTTTTGTCTGGCAACCATGCGACTTTACGGAGGCGGCGCACGGCTGCCCCGCGAAATGCTGAACGCGGAAAAGCCAGCTGGACATGGAGAACAAGCTTGAAGGGGGCTGGAAGGCCCAGCCAACATCTTCGCCGCAGGCGAAGCCAAGCTCCAGCTCTGTTGTACCGTAGTAACGATAGTCCCAGGAGGAGAGGAGATGCCATCTCAAGCAATAGGAGGATCCTCGCGGTGAGGCACAGTCAAATCTGGGCGGCCGGCCGCCTGAGCCAACGTGGCCGCGGGGGCACGCTCGTTTCCACCCCTCACGTCCCCCAGCTCGCTTTAGAGTCGGGGGGGGAGGGAGACGAAGCGTGAGCCCGACGCCCCTATATAACAGGCACAGTGCAGCAGCTAACAAACACAAGGACAGGAAAGGAGACGAGCCCAAAATAAAGGTGGACCCGCCAGCAAGTTGCCTCGCAAATGCGTGACACACTCATCAGGCGTTGTCAGATCTTGATGTCTGGCCGGCCCGATATGGAGTATGCCTCTGCAGGTCATGGTTGAAGGCCTGTATACATCCCATGAGTTATAGGAGCATTTCTCTGTCGATGCTCCCCTTGACGTGGCCATCCGCAGTCATGTCGCGGGTATCACACCACTGAATGCTGTGCACGATTCAACGCTCCATCATCTGACGTATCCAACTGATGTGTCCTAAAAGGGTACACTCAGCAGGCGTCTTCAAGTCTTTGCTTGACAAGGACTCAAAAACAGACTCAGCATCGATGGTCAAAGTGACCTTGACGATCAGACCACAAACTGAGTGGGCGTGAGCGGCCCTGCGTGGAGCTCGCGCAGAGTCGGAATCGTGGGATAGCAATCCTCCAAATTATGGGCTGCTGCTAGCGTCTCTGCTGAATAGCTCGAGCGGGCCTGCAAGCGGTGAGACTTGCTGCACGCGCCGATCAAGTGAACGAGAGGCTTACCGGATGACGTGTTTCCACGTCGTTGCAGGCTTGCCCCGCGGATACCATAACCTCTGACGTCGTCGTCGGCGTCGTCGCGTGTCGGTCGGTTCTTGGACACGCTGTAGAGATACAACATACATCATTAAGCAAACCTGGGTGATCAGCGCGCATGCCAGCACACCCCTGAGACTGACGAACATGTCTGCCACCATCTCGGTAGCTTGAGCGTCAGCGTCGGCGCCGTCTAGATCGGGATGTTGTATAGGGCGGAGCTGTTTCATCTATTCATCTTGATCTAAGGTAACATGTCCGTCCTCGCCCTTAGTGTTTCTCACAGCACAGTTAGTATATGTGTGATCGTTGAGTTTACACCGACCGAGAGCACCCTCAACGCAGTTGACATAGTTGTCAATGGTGTCCTCGGCACCGGCCATATTAATATCGTCAACATGCTTGGCCGTGAGCAAATTATTGCTCATCTCGAACTCCTCGTCGTAAGACGTGGGTCGGAAGCCAAATCCTCTGGTGGTTCTCCTGAGCTTGAGTGAAAAAGGCCGTGGAGCGCCCTTAGTGCCTGTGCCCGGTGCCACGCACTGTAGGCAGTGCTTTGACTCGTCGCAGTTCTCAAATCCTGGAAGAGCACGGAGCAGAGTGGCCGATCCAGGCGGCAAAGTAAAGCACGCCACACGTTCCTTTTCACCAGTTGCCTCAGCGAGTTCCCGATAGATCAGCCCCTTCAGGGAGGTCATGCTGATGTCGAGGGAAGCAATGATCCACTGCTTCTGGCACGCTGCAATGCTGGCGGGTAACCTCTGGATCGACCTTCTTGCCGTTCCCGAAAATGTTCCCACGTCGAAAGCTTCCAGGCCCATGACGCCTCGGAGCACCAAGCGAACTCGGATGGCATGTTCCGCCTCGCCCTTATCGTTCTTCACGAAATTCCATGTGCATACGTACCCCGAAGTCCTGATGTTCGACGCTTTGGCTATCTCCTGCATCTTAAAGCATTTGTTGTCGAACCATGTCCTGAGCTCAAGGGCCTTCGATATTTTCTCGGGGTTCGCCTGAATGTCAGCTTTGGCGAGGAGGTTGTCTTCCTTGACGACCTCAGCTCGCTCTGCAACGGCGGTAACATATACGCGCATAGTGGCCACCCCGTCGGCATCGAATCACATGCGCTGCTGCTCGGACAGTACCTTTGACACTTCTGCCCTAAAGCACAGTTCAACGCGTCGACCGTTTTCGTCGGAGTCGAGTCCGCAGCTGTCGTCTTCGACCATAATGCACAGGGGGGCGTAGTGGTCTCCTCGGCATCGGGATCGCGAGTGCGATTCCTCTTCGGCAGGTGCCCCCGCTGTCCGTCAGCTACAGTGACCAGCACGCTCTGATCAGCAACCGTATGCGTGGGTACGGTAAAGAGGTCCTCTAGTGGAGCTGCCTCCAACAGTTCTCCTTCCTCTTGCCATTCTGCGCACCGCACCTCCATAACATGTGACTCAAGATCAGCTTCTGGTTCCTCGAAAAATCGTAGAAAGCCGTCCGTCATCATGTTCTGGTTCGGCTTATGAAGCCTCTCTTGTGGCTCCTTCGGGTGTCGGCGCATCAGCCAAGTGCCCAAACTTTGACCTGTCCTGATCGAAGCCTGCCTGAGGCTTAGTGGACTTCAGGCATTGGATGATTCGCGAATGTGCTGACCCAGTAGCGTCATGTATACTCAGGGCAATATTTTCTGCTTCGTAATAATGGAAGCCTGGGTTCACGTCGTTGTCGCAATGGACCAATGCGCAGCTGTCAGCATAAATAATCGGGGATCGCCTGTGGATGCTCGTGGCTGGTCCGACAGAAACTACGTTCTCAACGCGAAAGAAGTTTCTGATAAGATATTGTAGGGCCAAGTGTACAATTGGGGATAGACGACTTGCAGTTGTCATCTGAAGCGCACCTCTCTCGGTCGGCACATAGCCAAATTTCAGGGCAGGTCCCCCCGCTGACAGGCTGGCTACGAACGCCAACACTGTGCGTAGCGCAGTGTTGTCGGAGCCAATCTCTCGGGCTATGAGTGCTTCAATATGTAGCGAATGTCTTGCATCGCCGCATTGTACTTGAACATCTCGATTGCCTACTCGGATGATGACCTGACCCCTTTTCGGGACCATTCCTTGCGACTGTGAACGGGCAGTTCCAGCCGCCCCAGTCATCTTTCGC